TACGTCGATGACACCAGTGATAGCAGAAGAAACTGAGTAAAAATGAAACATCATAAACAACGGATTCCTTCAGATATCGAACAGATCAATCTGCTCCCAATGACCCGTAAACACCAAGAAGCCCAGAATACATGAACCACCAAACCAATAGATGACCCACTTCCACTGTAGGCGACAATCAAGCATCACCAAAAACCCACACAGACAATAAAAATTTCTCAGCAATAATCCTTCAACCCAGATTTTATTCCAAATCATCAAAACAAAAACTCATCCACACTCACAACTCCGGCAACAAACTCCGACGACAACGCCATACCCCTAACAAATAAAGTTTCTAAGCACATGAAGCGATTCAATATGCTGATACATCGCCCGGCCACACTGTTATAAACATCATATATCCTCAAAAAACCTCACGCTAAAATCCTGAAACCAAGATAAGAAATAATAAGAAAGGGAATTGTAAGTAACAGACCGTACGCATAGTTCCAATATCCAGCAAAAAAAAGAAAGCAAATACCTATATATATATATATAGCGAAGTAAGTATCATATGGTTTGATGAAGCCAGTCATAGCACAATCCGGCAAGAACAGAGATATCAAGAACTAATTTCTCCAAATATCAAATAACCTAATCTGCTTCCAGTGACCTGTAAACTCCCAAATACTCGACATAGCCACAACCGAAAACCCCATAGCACAAACGCACAAATAACAAAGCAATAATTTCCAAGATGGCCACCAGCCTTAAAATCCAATAAATGGCCTACTTGCATGACTCTCCACGATCAAACATCACCCGGAAAAACACAGAAATACACAAGATTTCTCAGCAATCATCCCTCGGCTAAGATTTCAGACGCAAACATCCAACAAATACTCATCCACACTCATAACTCAGGAAACCTCTAATAACGCCCATTCCAATCACTCCTCACAACCGACCCCAAATCTCAAGACAGCCTCAACACAAACGAACAGAAACAAACAAAGAAAAACCAACCTTTTCAGTCACCGCCCATACTCCCACAATTGCCACCCAAATACTCAACTGCCTCCGCACAATGAACCCCTGGGAAAAACTCAAAACAACCTTAAGAAATACAAATAACGTAAAACACGTTAGATGAAAAAACAAATTCGAACAATTATGCCGTCACAAATAAGCAAGAATAAACAAGAACGACCAAAAAAACAAAACTGGAATGGACCAGTTATGCCGCGACAAGACTGGAACATGACCAGTTATTCAGCGACAAGACTGAAAAATGGCCAGTTCTATCATCGTTGGGAAAAATAAAAATAAAAGAAACAAGAAAACGTAAATATATATAAAAACAAGTCACCTGAGAGTATGACCAGGTGAGTTGTGACAACATGTCTGGAATGAGGACCAGACATGTTGTGAGAATTTGTGGGGACTAACGCCACTTTTATAGGCAGAAGCAACCCCCTTTATAATTTTTGGCATCTTTTTCACTCAGTTGTAATTTAGCCCGCGGGAATAAGAAACCAAAATGTAATTTGAGTAGGTGCATTTATTGCAAAAGGTGAAAGTCTTTCATAAAGATGAAGCACCTAACCTTCTATCATCAGAATTCTCTCACATAGACAAGATAAATATTGAAAATTCACACCAAATTGATATTTGCAAGGCCATAATAAATGAATAAAAGGCACGTGGCCACTCTAGTTTTTGCGGATTCTCTCAAGGACTGTATGTTTTCTTTTAATCAGGTAAAGTTCAATTTTTATATTAATAAAAAAAGTTCAATTTTAAGCCCATAGAAAGGCTTTAAGGCCCAAGTCCAAAACTATACTAACAATCAAATTAGCCCAACACGATATAACCCCAATCTAGTATTTTTATACAATTTTTAATTTTAATTTGTTTTTATTTACCAGCCAATTGCGGACGATTTGTATTCCCCTATAAGATAAAAGAAAGACCGGAAAGTTTTACGGGGAAAGAAATTGCTGCGAGGGGGATTCCTCCTAACAGTATCAAGTATTGGATAACCAACGCCAACTAGGAAATGGCGGTGGCAATCGACCATGATATAAAGGAAGGAAGTATCATTTTAAAAGAAATTGGTGAAGATTTCACAGTGGATAAGAAGAAACCTAAGGTTGTCTGTTGGTCCAAGCCTAGTGCTAGATGCATAAAAATTAACTGCGATGAAGGCTTTCATTAAGGATTTTCCAGGGGGGCTTTTGTGCTGAGGGATGAGGTAGGCAACATTATTGTATGTTTTGTTTTCAAATTTCTAAGAACAGCCAAGGAATTGGACTTAGACGTCCGTGAGATAATTGTTATTCATGCTTCCGTCACGATGGCACTCAAGTACCTGTAACTATAATATAATCACTTTGACTATCGTTAATTAAAACTGAGTAGGAAACACTCCTCACCCCAGCCATAACCAAAGAAATCCAACATGCAAAAAAACCCAAACTCCACATACAATCTTCTAGAAAATCCCATTCGATTATATCGTAGGCCTTGCTTAAATCCAATTTTAAAGCCATGTGTGCCTTATGACCAAATCGCTTGTTTCGCATAAAATGAATAGTTTCAAAAGCGATCATTGTATTATCATAAATCATACGATCAGGAACAAAGACACTTTGATTATCCCCAATCAAATTAGGCAAGACTAACTTCAAGCGATTTGCCAAAGCCTTAGATATAATTTTAAAAATGACATTACATAGGCTAATGGGCCTATAGTCTTTAGCTAAATTCGACGAAGCAGTCTTAGGTATTAGCACAATATTGGTGTGATTAATAGAAGGCAAAAGCTTACCATATTCAGAAAATCCAAAAAAAGAAGCCACATCCTTACCTATTAATCCCCAACGCTGTTGAAAGAAGGCCTGTGTCATCCCGTCGGGTCCCGGAGCTTTATCCCCCTCTATCTGAAATACAACAGCTTTAATTTCTTCAAAAGTGAAATCGGCATCAAGTAAAATCCCCTGTTGGTCATCAATTTTTTTCTCTAGTAGACTAGCAATAGAGTGAACACTAGCCCAATTTGGATTAGCAGAGGAAAAAATATCCTTAAATTAACCCAAAATAATCCTCTCAATGCTTTTAGCATCCGAAAAACAAGCTCCACTATCATCATAAATCGAAGAAATTATGCTTCTTTGTCGACGAGAAGAGGCCACCGTATGGAAGTAACGCGTATTCCGATCTACATCCCGTAACCAGAGAGACTTCAATCTTTGATGCCACATCACTTCCTCTTGTTGGTGGAGTTCATTCAATTCCTGATGAAAAAACTCTAAATTGGAGCTATCCTCACCTACAGACCCTTGCTGATAAAGCTTCTCAAACTCCTTTTGCTTCAACTTAATCTTCTGCTTAATATCACCAAAAACATTTTGATCCCAATCCAATAAAACCTTATCCATAACGGTATCACCGAAATTTGAAAAACCAAGAACTCTTAACAACTCGAAGAAAATCAGTATGATGACACCATATACGTTCAAAACGAAATTGCCTTTACTTAGGGAAAAAAATTAGAGACTTATCTGTAATCGAAAGAAGGAGTAGAAGATGATCAGAAACTGATGAGATAATATGCTCCTCATGGGATTGTCCATACCGCTGCCACCAAGATTCTGTTGCCATTGCTCTAACAAGCCACTCACACAATAGTACCTCTGATTCATCTTCTCCATGTCATCATCGACCCTCTCACTAGTAAATCACAAAAACAACAATCTGAAATTACCTCTGAAAAAGCACTCATTTGTCCTTGAGAACGCAAGGCACCTCCAACCCTCTCCGAGTTTGATATTATTTCATTAAAATCCCTGAGAAAAGCCAAGGGAGTTGGAATCTATTCTTCAACTGACGTAATAAATTCCAAGACTCCATTCGAAAATTGGTTTCTGGTCTTCCATAAAAACTAGTGAATCGCCAACTATCATTTAAACCAACTCGCATCAATATCGGATTGAGAATAAGAAAGAATAGAAACAGGTGATTCCTTTAGCCAAAGCAGAGCCAAACCACTAGCTCTACCTATACAATCCACTGTTAAACAGTGGTTAAAACCTAACCGGTAACGAATCCAATCCATTTCGTTTTTATTCCGTTTAGTTTCATATAAAAACAATAAACATGCCTTATTACATCATACTAATTTTAATAAAGCATAAATTGACCGAGACGCCCCGAGACCTCGGCAGTTCCAAACTAGACAATTCATTGCTTCCGGCAGATGGCTCTTATTGGCCATCTCAGCCGATACAAACAAATCAGTAATTGGTGTTGCAGCCGGATCATTAGCATCAACACCGTCTTCACGCCTTGCCTCAGATACAACTTGAGTACCCGCTCCAACCTCGTTTTGAAAACTTACAGCAATGTTATCACGAGTTCTCTTGAACATACCCGACCCAGTAGTCTCCTGAGTAGATACACCCGTACCTCTCTTCCGCCCATCTTTAAGGTTCGATTGGGGAGCAAAAGCCTCAAAAGAGTATTTCGAACTCACCCGAGCCGTCTTCTTCCACTTCCTAGGTTTCTTGACATTTGAAGAAGAACTCATGCCGAAGACAAAAGGGGAGATTGCAGCCATTTTGTGCAAGAGCTTTTTGACAGCATTTGGGCCAGTAGCTCCAACTGGGTCCGAACAAATATTAATAGGATTACCCACACTAGGCAGCCCACCATCCATCTTAGTAGATTGCAATACTGGGCCCAGAGAAGCAGGCCCAACTCCAGGAATATTCGTATTGGGCTGCACAACTGAGGGGATGCCTTCCCTACCTTCATGGTGCAAACCCGCAGGAGATGGAGATTCATCAGTCACCTTTACCAAGAAATTCTTGAAATAAACCAAATTCTCGGTTGTTAAAACACTCAATCCCTTATCTTTCGCAACCACTCCCTTATTCCTCGTAACAACCTTCACGATCTTCGCTGAAACATCCTCTTCCCCGATATTCTCGGAGGCACCAACAACGACCTTCCTTTTCCAATTCCGGGCCTGAGAATTGAAAAGGTGTTCCGCTAACCATGCCGACATCTTCCCTAAATGACGACCGCCCAATCGACGCCCATCCAAATGAGAATTCGCCGCCGTAGTGTGCTTCCCAAGCCAAAACTGCCCCACTCCCTTTACTAGTAAAGCCATCGATTGGAGATTGAGTATTCCCACTCGAAAGAATAGCCTGTTTCGGATCCGCCCCAGCGCCTCTCACCACCAATGGAGCAGTATCATGAATACGGACCTTGGAAATCATCTCATAGGACATGGCATCTCCCTCGATAGCCTGCTGCACTTCCTTTTCCCTCAAGACCAAACTATCTACATGATTCCTAAAATAGGCCTGTTATTGTTGATGAACCGATTCTGGTGACAAAGGAGAACTAAGACTCCCTTGATGTAAATTAGCCTCCCCATTGAACCGAGAAGACTTAATGGTAGAAGACTTAATTTGCACTTAGCAATAGCACTCACACTTTTTTACCCTAAATTTACAAGTCTCCAAACAATTAAAAAATATATCCTTGTATCCAAATACCTAAATATCCCCTATATAAATATTTGTAATAAGTGTTAGAGAGAGACTATAAGTACTCAAGATCTGCATTTAAAAATAACATTTATTACACATATAAGGAATATTTAAGTGTTTGGATACAATGATATATTTTATTGTTGTTTGGAAACATGCAAATTTAAGCTAAAGAAATGTGATTGCTAAGTGTTATTGATAAGTGCAAGTAATAGTAATTTTTTCTGGGGTGAAAATAATAGTAATTATTTTAATCGAATTGTATATAAGCGCGAGAATATTTTAGGAATCAAACTCCCCGCCAAAGCCCTGCCTCCTGAGTGCGGCATGCCCGGAAAAACCATGGCGGAGATGGCAATTGAAGTCCGAACGCTGAGCGGTGAATCTACCGTGATTACAACATCGCCAGACAAAACAATTAACGATTTCAAGCTTCTTTTGAAACTCTCTTTTCCTCCCGCCTCCTCTTCTCCCAATTTCCATCTCTTCTACAAGGTAAATTAATAATAATAATAATATTAGTAATAAACATAACAACATTTCTTATTCTCATAAATTATTTTTGACGCTTTTAAACCCGAATTGTTTTTGTTTCAGGGCACTAAATTGAGCTCGCAAAGCAAACTAAGTAGTCTGTCGGTTCAGTGCGGTGATTTCTTGGTTTTGATTCCTTTTACTAAGAAAGACAAGCCTCGAGTTGAAAACCCTAGTTTTTCCAACAATGCAAGCACTGCCACAAGCTTTTCTGATTCCACTTACTCTGATATGATGCAAGAACTCTCTTATTTACGTGACGAATCAGTGAATTTAAGTGAAGGTAAAACTGATAATAACACCAATAATTTTTATTTTACAAGTAAACGGAAACGAGAAGGAACTGATAGAGATGAGAAAGATGAGGGGCATTCTTCTGATTTTTTATGGAATGTATTACGGTCTTCGGATGGGGATTTGTTTGATGAAAGGAATTGTAAGAAGTTTGTTGAGGTTTTGCAGTCAGTGAACTGTTTGTCGAGTCCATATTCAGGGGAATGTATGGTGTTAAGTGAGGCCAAATGTAGGAGTAGCAATGAACTTGCTTCCTGTTTGTGTCCTGTTTGGTTGAAGAAAGTAGTGGAGGGATTTGCTTTTGTGAGCATATTGTCCGGGTTTCTTCATCTGCGAACTGATAAGATGACCTCAGCTTGTTTGAAGGGAGTGCTGGACCGTTTAGAGAAATTTGGGGTTGGCATTTCTATGGAGGACATAGAGTGTCTTTCTGTTCTTTGTCCCAAGGTTTGCTACTTTCTATAATAATGCAAAATAAGACATGATATAAATCGGATATATGAGCACTGTTAACTACACATTTTATCAGTTTCTAGAGCATTTATAAATAATGCGTCTGATATCCATAGATGTTTTATGATTTGAATTAAGTTTCTCTTGGTTGGATAAAAAGAAAAAATTGGAAGGATTGCACATAACTATTGTTTTATGACTGTTGAAACTTTCATTCAATTGTATCTTTGCATAGAAGGATGGAATTTCTGTTCCTTCTTGCTTGCTGAAGTATGTTTTTGACCTCTGCTCTTAGTTATCATGCAAGGAAAACACATTCACTTTACCCTTTTCCCCCCCAACCTAGAAGGATGTGTGTATAAGTGCACATTCATACATATACATACAGACACACGCGCACACACACACACACACACATATATATATATATATATATCGACCATGGATAGTGTCCTCTGTTGCCAACAGTGAGAGGTCTTTATACATGATCATGTTTTGTGGTTGAAAAATGTTGTTTCCTAGTATGCTTTTGATGCTGCCTTCTGCTGTTTGTGTAGTTTAACTCTCTGTCTTTGGTTTACTTGTCCCTTCTGAAAACAAAATCATTTTTGGCGCAAATGGTTGATCAAATCTATTATGTCTCCTTGTTTTTCCCATGATTCATCCACAATTTTGACATATCTTCCTCCATAAAATGCAAACTGCAAAAATTCTTGATATTTGCTTTAATATCACTAGTCCTTATCAACTCAGGTATCTCTAGATGATTAGATTGCTATGAAAATTATGGCCTGTTACTTCAGAATATTGAATTTCATTGATTTGACTGTTGCCCCTTAACTTTCGATGACAATGTTTTAAAGTACTTTTTGACTTTTCACCTGTCAATTACTGCTCATGTAGTTTCCATGTTTACATCTGCTTGAGTGAAGTATATGATCATTCCAATATCAGGTGGTATGTTTTGTGAATGATGATACGGAGCCTAAAATTTTTGGTGATGCACTTGTTATCTATCGTTGTTCAACAAAGGAGGGAGACAAGTTTGATGGCAAATTCAGAGCTGGTATTATTGAAGATATATACATTTCTTTCCATCTTTTCATTTAATTATTGATAAGCTTCAAAGCAATAATTTTTTTTGACTGGTTCAATTTTTCTGTTCACAGGTAAAAAATATACATTTCTTTCAAAGATCTTTAGCCTAATGAAGAAAAGGGAACGTTCATTCAAAATCAGCTTGTGGAAGACAATCAAGTTGTTAATGGTCATATTAACTTCAAATAGATTATCTGTTTCTTCAAGGCATGCATGCATCTTAGCCTACATATAGATTCTGGTGATTTTTAGGAAATTTGAATTCTACAACATGTTTATTATAGTTATTTCATGAGCCTTTTCTCCCTCTCCTTACTCTCCCTGACTGGCCAGTGTTATTGACTTATTTCTGTCAATTGTTAAGTGTTTCCATATTATTATCTGTTTCTGATATCTGTCTACTTAATCAAAAACCCAGAACTGAGTCTATCCATCCATGCTCAGAAATTTGTCAACTGCTCTCAATAATGCATAATATTAATATAGGGTTTTCTATTTTGGGACAAGGCAAGTCAGTGAATTTTCTTAACTGATTTGGTTTTACTATTAAAAAGTTTTGCTTCTTGTACAAAATATCATGTGCTTCAAGATCACAACTGGTACATTGGAACAAATTCTACAATTTTCATTTTTACTAAACGAATAAAGAAAATATGGTTTTCCTCTGGAATAATCTTGAAGCACTTTCATTTGTTGGTTGGCTTAAGTTCACTTTCGGGATTGCCCCTGCATTATGTTTTTTAACCCCTTAAGGCATTCTGCCATGCATATGCATTAAACTCTTTTTCAAGTATGATTTGCTGAACATGTGATTATATTTTCGTTTGTACAGTCGAAACAGAGATATGAGAATCTGACGTCACTTTCATTAGAGGATGTGCTCATATTTGTGAAGGAAGGTGGTGTCGTTTTGGAAAGAAACAAAGTAAAGCAGGCAGGGAGAAGCTGGTGTTCTAGTTCAAAATCTCGTTCAGTCAAAAGACGATGTCATGTATGTGTGTATTCATACTTAGTTTTTCATATAAAATTCATTTGTGCATTACAATGATTATGAGAAAAATGAAAAAAAGAATCATTTTTACATATTCTTCCCCTTGAGTTTCGTGAAATATTTTTATGCCACATTGGGGTTGAATGGAGTGTAAAATACTTAAATTGCATATTAATAGCTTCTGTATTTATGCTTTTTGACTATTGTAGTTTTTTATAGCTCATATGCTTTATAAACATTAGAGGTATTATTTGTGAGGGAATTCAAATCCTTTCTGTAGGCTCTCTCCTTATCTTTTGTGTTATTAATGTTATAAAACCCATTTTGAAGTCAAGGACCTATGTCATGTAACAACATCTCTACTTAGCAGGACACAGGTCAATTGCAACCAGACGAAATGGTTGAGCATCTCAAGAAGAGCATCGGATCAGATGGGCAGGTTATTTCCACACTTCATTTGGGTTCTAGGGAAGAAAATTCTCACCTTGATTTTCATAGGAGCTTCCAGGGTGGCTGGTAGCTATCAGTATACTGGATTTATTTCCTCAGAAACACCTTTGGAATCATGCATGTCTTACCATCACCACCTAGTGGCCATATCATACTAGCATTTTACATGAAAGAATTATATTGGAAATTTAACTCTTGATGTATGACTGATGCAGCTGGTGCATGTCGAAAAAATTGCTGCTAGGAAAGCTTCCTATATGGAGATTCCTAAAGAGCTTTCGGACAACATCAAATCTGCCCTTAAGAGTATTGGAATTAATAAATTGTATAGCCACCAGGTACAGGTGCTTTCCAGTACTTCTTTCTTTTCAAAGGCAATATATCAGGCATATGTTTCAACCCTTGTTGTTTTTGCAGGCAGAGTCAATAACAGCATCCCTTGCTGGGAAGAATGTTGTTGTGGCAACAATGACATCTAGTGGCAAATCTCTTTGCTATAATCTGCCAGTTTTGGAGCGATTGTCCTATAATTTGTCATCATGTGCACTTTACTTGTTTCCCACAAAGGTTAGTCACAGTTAGGCTTTTCAATTTTATGGTCGTGGCCCATAGGCATTATCTCTATCAGACAAATTGCTCTCTGATGCAGGCCTTGGCTCAAGACCAACTAAGAGCTTTACAATCTATGGTAAGTGAATTAGATTGTAGCATCAATATTGGGGTATATGATGGTGACACTCCTCAGAAAGAAAGGACATGGCTTCGAGACAATGCTAGATTGGTATGCTACTGAAA